GGGTGGGCAGGCCCCACCTGTTGAGAGCATTACACATCTCAATGGTGACCAGCACAGACAAGGCCATGGTCATGGGCTCCGGGGCCTCGAAGATCTCACACTCCACACCCTCAAAGTCAGGGTTGTCCTCAGTGCATTGCATGAAGTGAGTCTGCAGGGGGAGAGGGGAGGAGTTGAGCTGGGATCCCACAGAAGCCTCCAGGCCACCCTCCTGCCTCCTGTACCCCCTCCATCTCTCTTCCTCAGTCCTCCCCTACCAGCTGGTTGTAGCTGACATGGGGCCCATCCTCTGCATACAGGAACCACCAGGCAGCTGCTCCTACAGTGGCTGCACCCACATAGCCTGTGGTAGAGAGAAGGTGGGAGTCAGGGGTGGTCAGGGCTGGGGAGATGGGAGGCATCCAGAGGGCGTTAGGCCATGAAGAGCTGGTGAGGGAAAGGGACAATGGGGGCAGCCGCCCTGGGGGGCTGGTGTCCCAGAGAGGGGGTCAGTTCTGAGGGCTGGGAAGGTGTGTGGGGTCCCATTCTCACCCCCAATCGCCATGTAGCGGAAAAAGAGCCAGCCGCTGATAAGGGGCTCCTTGGGGCTTCGGGGGGGCCGGTCCATGATGTCCAGGTCTGGGGGGTTGAAGCCCAGGGCTGTGGCTGGGAGCCCATCAGTCACCAAGTTCACCCACAGCAGCTGCACGGGGATCAGAGCCTCAGGCAGGCCCAGGGCGGCTGTCAGGAAGATGCTGCAGACGGAGGCAGTCACGTGTCAGCCCTGCTCCCAGATCCGGGCTTGCCCCCGCCCAGCCCTGGCTCCTCCCGGGTGCCCGCCCCGGCTGCTCACCAGACCACCTCGCCCACGTTGGAGGAGATGAGGTAGCGGATGAACTGCTTCATGTTGTTGTAGATAGCCCGGCCCTCCTCCACCGCGGCCACGATGGTGGAGAAGTTGTCATCGGCCAGCACCATCTCCGAGGCGGTCTTGGCCACAGCTGTGCCTGAACCCATGGCAATGCCAATCTCGGCCTTCTTCAGAGCGGGGGCATCATTGACACCATCGCCTGTCTGAGGGGATACAGAAGGTGGGACCCGGCCCCGCCCTCCTTGGGGCCCCAGCTCCAGAAGACCATCGGCTCAGTGGACACTAAGCAGACGGTCCCACGCCAGACCCCACGTGGGCCCAGCCTGGGTGACCCCGTGGGTCTTCTCACCATAGCTGTGATCTCGTCAAAGGACTGCAGATACTCCACAATCTTCGACTTATGGGCGGGCTCCACCCTGGCAAAGCAGCAGGCGCGTCGGCAGGCATCCCGCTGCTCACCCAGGGGCAGGTCATCAAACTCCCGGCCAGTGTAGGCACGGTCGGCCACATCCTCATTCTCCCCAAAGATGCCGATTCGTCGGCAGATGGCAATGGCTGTGCCCTTATTGTCCCCAGTGATCATGATGACTCGGATTCCGGCATCCCGGCATAGCTGGATAGAGCCCGTGACCTCCTTGCGGGGCGGGTCCAACATGCCCACCACACCAACAAATGTCAGGTCCATCTGGGGAGCCAGAGCAGAGAGCGACAGGGTCAGGGAGGGACTGGGCGCTGAGCAGGGGGCGCTGGGGACAAAGGTCGGCAAGCCGCGCAGGGAGAGTGGACTGGGCCTGGTGTTCAAGCCTCGCCGTGCGGCCTCGGCAGCTCAGGGGCAGAAAACACCTATCTACACGTGGACCTGCAGGCGTGGCGGTGCCCGGCCCATTGCGGGTGGCAAACCGTGTCTTTCATAGAAAAAACTTGAGCCGGGAGTTAGCGTAGTGGTTTCCACTTTCAGGAGGACCACTCACTAGGTCTACAACTTTGAGCAAATCTGTTACCTGTCGGGCCAGAGTCTCTATAAAATGATGGGACCGGATTTTGGTCCTCCTGCTACCAGAAAAAGGAGCTTGTGCCAGGGCACAGGTCTGAGCGCTGCTTCCTGCATTAAGAAACTCTCACTCTCCCGGGGGAGTAGGGATCTAGCTGATTTCCGTTCCGGCGCGAGCACCCCACCGCATCTCAGATAGGTCCACAGATCCCTGTCTAGGTGGCCTAAGGGTCTTTCAGGCTCTAATGTCCTGTAATTCTAGGACCCGTGACAAAGTAGGAAATGACGAGGGGAGCGGAGGGGATGAGGCGATCACTCTGGGACGATGGAAGGCTTCTTCCGTCTGCTCACCTCATACTCCATGAACTTGGCAGAGTCATCCAGAACCATGTCCTCCCGCTTTGGGGGGGTGTCCCGGGTGGCCAGGGCCAGACAGCGCAGGGTGTCCCGGCCAGTGCCCCACTCCTTGATCACAGACATGATCTTCTCCTTCACCGGCCCTGTCATGGGCACACGGGTGGTGCCGACTCGCACATAGTTACAGCGGTCAATGACCCCCTCGGGGGCACCCTAAGAGACCAGGACAGCACTCAGAGACAACTGTCAGCCTTCTAGGCCCCAGTGCGAGGGTAGGGAGAGGAGAAGGGTTCAGGGTGAGGAAGGAGAGGGGCTGGGGGACACTCTGATTTCTGACCTTGACAAACATCTTATTGCCCACAGCAGCCCGAGACTTGGCTGGGGAGCAATAGACAGACATGGACTTCCTGTCTCGGGAGAACTCCAGGGTGCATTCCTTCTTCATCAGCTGACGGATCACCTGGGAGAGGAGACAGGAAGGGGAGGGCCAGACGTGAGAGGTGGGAAAAGAGGGATGGTGCTGGGCAGGAAGGGAGGTGTCCCAGACCCCCTGAAACACTGTCCAAAAGGGTCAGGACGTCGTGCGGACCCCAAGCTGAGACAAGCTACGCGTGGCACCTCCTTCACCACTGGAGAGAATTCCAGTGTCTGGTTGAAGCACAACTGAAATGAGATGTGTAGTGTGGTACTGTCCAATAGAACCTTCAGTGAGCGTGGCATGTTCTCTAATCGGAACCGTCCTAAACGGTGGGACTGAGCAGTGGCTGCTGAGCATGCGAAGCATGGCTGCTGCGAGTGGCAGAACCCAGTGTGTACTCATATTTAATTTAAATTTAAATAACCACGTGCACACTTCTGGAGACATGCTTTGGACAGTGCAGACCTATGGCCCCGCATGCCGTAATAAACGCTCCATTAAAGTGAAGGAGAGACTTTCTCACCAAAAGCATCATGAATATTTCTCCACAAAATCCAATACAACAAAAATAAAAATGACAATAAAATTAAAAAAGAAGTTGATGTTTATAGTCTCGTTTGTGAAAATTTGTTAATGATTAAAATAGATATTAAACATCTACTGATAGATATTTAGGTGGTTTTCATGATTTTTGTCTTATCATATCAAACAGCAACAAGCCTGCATTTATAACAATGAGTGATGTGAGGGACAGAGCACC